CACAAGTGAGGGCTTTCCTGCCACTGGGGCCGGGGAGGGGCAGGTGACACAGCCCCATACCCGTGAGCTTTGTGTGGGGTGTGGGATCAGTATTCCTTCACCCATCGTACAGAACGCTGTGGCACCTCATTTATTAAGAGGTGTTCTGTGAAGGAAGGGTTTTCTGGTCAGTAGGTTTGGGAAAGCTTTGGGTGGCACTTGAGATACGTGGTTTGTCTTCTGCAGGACTTATCAGAGCTTTCAATACGCTCTGTGTGTGTAGTCTGTCTCTGACACACGGGAAGCACTTAGCATATTTATTTGGCCCTGAGAAGCTGCAGTGGGCTCTCAGTGAATACCATGTCGTACGCAGGCTGGTAGACTCAAATTTTCTTCTCCTGGGGGTTTCTTGTCAGAGCTCCAGAGAGTGACACAGAAAAGTCTCCTAGATCAGAGACAGGAAAGCATAGTGGATTCCAAAATCCTGACCAATGTGTCAAGCAGAGGTGGTCAAATCCCACCAAGTCTCTTATTCAAACTGTGGGTTCTACCCTGAAGGGTCAGGTCTGCTGCTCTTGGTTTGAGGACCTGGAGGTGTGTGCATTTGAACAGCTCTCCTGGGGGTCCCAGAGGTAGGTCGCCTAGGAGGCCTGTGACAGGGAGCAGAGTCCCCAGCCAGCAGAGGGAAGGCCTGGGTTGAAGTCCCGGCTTTGGGACTCTCACTGAACAGAGCAGGGTTTTTCCCTCTGGGCCTGAGTTTCCCCCTCTGTGAAGCAGGCTGACTATAATCTGTCCTTTCTGCTTCTCAGAACTGAAGGGAGGGGCTGGAAATGCTCAGTGGGCCCCGGGAATGTGCCAGCTGTCACCATATACACCAGTGACAAGGCAGGGGCTTCGTGCAAAGGGGGCCCAGGCCCCAGAGAGGCGGGGCCTTGAGGTGACGCAGGGCCATGCATGGAAATCAGTGCTGGGCAGTGCAAAGGTGCAGGCCTGTCATCTCAGCACTCTGGGGAGGCTGAGGCGGGAGGATCACAAGTTCGAGCCTGGCTTCAGCAACTTGGGGATTTAGCAAGACTCTGTCTCAAAATAAATAATAAGGGGCTGGAAATGTAGCTCATGGCAAAGGTGGCAAATGTTCGATCCAGTACTACCAAAGGAAAGACAGGAACCAAGGCTTGGTGGCACCTGAGATCTCTTGCTATGAGAGATGGGTCATACATTCCTCACGGCAACCCCATTTCATGAATGAGAAAACTGAGGCTAGGGAACGTGCAGAAAGCATGCAGCGGAGTGTGTAAGAGGGGCACTGAGGAAAGGCTGTGTCCCTCCTCCCTCCTTGAGCATTTCCACCCCTGGGATGCCAGGGGCCCCCAGGGGAGGTCCTTGTCCCCACACCTTCTATTTTTTGTGGGAGGTGCTGGGGATCAAACTCACAACCTCAAGCTTTCCAGGTAGGCGCTCGTGCCACGGTGCTAAACGCCCGGCCTGTTGCTTCTCTTGAATCATTTCCAAAGCAGTTCTTTGTTGAGGCAGCACCTGCTGTTGGGCCCAGTGCTGACATCTATCGCATTAAACCCTCACACCAGGCGGGAGAAGAAGGCATCGTGGCTCTCATTTGACAAATGGGAAGTCCCAGGCCCGGAGGTTAAGTAACTTGTCCTGTCTACCCAGCCAGTGGCCAGCAGAGCCAGGGGTGAGTCCTAGGTTGGCAGTCTTCCACCTCTCTCTCTCTGGAACCACCCTGTCTGCCACGGTCCCCTTGTTTGCTCTCCCTGTCCCCCATAGTCCCTGAGCCGTGGCTCCCGTTCAGGTCTTGTGACGCTGTCTCCAGGCCAGCACAGCACCGGGGCCAGAAGCGTTCGCTGTTTGACAGACTGAACACCCCCAGGTATTCACCAGGACCCGGTCACCCTGGAATCTCCTGCTGCTAGTGGGAGAGGCTTCGTGGGGCGTGCAGGGCTGGCGACTGAGTGAGGTGGGGTGGGGAAGAATCCTTTGGGGTTCAGGCTCAGAAACAGGGTCCCAGCCTTTCCAGGGGTGAACAGAGTCAGCAGGAGGCTGAGACACGATGACCAACCTCGGTGGGGAACAAGGGACACAGTGAAATGCCAAGGCCCAGGGGCAGGGTGAGGGGACCTGCAATTTTGGACTGGCAAGCCCTTGTTCCAGAAGGAAAATCCAAGAACCAGACCCGTGCTGGGAAGGGGTAGTTGGAATGATTTGTGATTCTCTTGCCAAATCTCATGGCTGATGACGTCACACACTGGTGGGTGCTTTCTTTTTTGTTTTTTTTAACCAAGTACAACTTAGGGTGACGTTTTTTTGTGGGTGGGGGTACAGGAAATTGGACTCAGGACCTTGAGCTCGCCAGGTGGTTGCTTAGGCGGCCGAGCTATACCCCCGGCCCTAGAGTGAAATCTTAAGCACATGCCCAGCTGTATTTTCCTGTGTCCTGTATTTCCATCCGCCTGTGTACACAGCACTCAGATCAAGAACACCCAACCACGGCTGGAGATTTAGCTCAGCAGCATAAGTGCCTGCCTTGCAAGCAGGCAGTCGTGAGTTCGATCCCTGGTACTGATAAAAAGAAAAAAGACCAAAAAAACCCCAAAAACACCCAACCATCTGTCCTGGGAAGTTCTCAGGGACCGTCCCAGTCAGTCAGGCCCCGTCCCACCCAAGGACCTCACCGTGAGGCGTCTGTGACAGTCAGGCTCCCGTTTCCAGTTCTGGATCCTGAATAAATGAAGTCATCCATTATGTATGCTTTTGTGTCTGGGTTCTTCTGAGTCAGGCCTGTGGTGGTCCACAGTGCGGACCTCGCCGTAGTGCTTTTTCTTGTTCACGTATAAGGAATGTTCCAGCCGTGGCTTCCTCCTGCTGCTCTGATGGCTCTGCAGTTGAGTCTGGGTTTCAGCCATAAAGCCACCACGACTGCTGTCTTGCCCACTGTGGGCTCCCGCAGGCCTAGTGCCATCCAGTAGGGACTCGGGCGTGGACCAGGAGACCTGCCTGTTTGCTTTTTGTAGTAACAGCCGAAGTCTCTTCCAAAGTGGTTCTACCATTCTGAAGTTGAATAAACTCTCATCGTTACTATCATCAAGGGATGTTGGGTAATCTTGACAATGTCACCCACGGTGCCCACTCGTGCCCGTCTCCAGGGAGGAGCCCAGGCGGCCGGGTGTCTGTGGGCCAGGCCCATCTTCCCGGCTTGTGCTGCCCAGGCCCTGAGACGTCCCGCTGGCCACAAGCTCCTTTTCAATATTCCTTATCATCACCAAAGCGGCTGCCGTTACAACACCACCTGGCTCTGCCCGAGCCACAGTGGCCGAGATTACAGCTTATCTCCCAGAGGGACCCGCTGAATGCATGTCATCCTCGTGGCGAGGCGCCCCAGGCCTCTCACAGACATCCGTACTGCCTCCGGGCCTTATCAGCAGCCAACAAGCACATCGTCTCTTGCGAGGTTGTTTCTTGATGAGATTTCTGGGGACCTTGACCACAGGTGGCTATCTCTTCCCTGCATGGCGGTGTTCATGTGTTTTCACAGCAGAGGATGACAGTGCCAGGCCCGGTGCCCAGAGCCTGCTGTGGATCGTACATCAGGGGTCCGTGCTGATGACCAAATCTCACGCGAAGACTCAGAGATCACCTAATAGGCTTTTGTCCTAGAAATGGACAAGCAGGCTCAGAGAGCTGACTGGAGTGCTTGCAAAGACCCGCGTGGTCACGCGTAGCCTGCGGCACTCTCAGGCTGCCCCAAAGATCTCTGGACCGCTAACAATTGCCTCTGTGGTCACAGTTCTCTGACTGGCTCAGGCCTGCCTCACCCATGCAGGGAGGGGTGCCCTCTGCATATGGCACCTCTAGAGCACATACTGTCTACAGCACATACTACCAAACATTTTTCATTGATCTTGTGATCAACCTTGAATTCTCGGAAGTTCTCCTGCCTCGGCCTCCCAAGTGCTGAGATTACAGGTGTGAGCCACCGTGCCCAGCTCCCTGGACACTCTGTATCTCTTATCCGGAGTTAAGGAACCTCCCCATGGAATAGCCTTGTCATTCATTCATTATTATTTGAGGCCTTGTGAAGCTCAAGGATAACAAGGAGAAGCTCAGAGTGGAAGGCATAGACGAGAATCCTGCCTTTGGCTGACACTCAGGCCTGATGTTTACTGTGCACTTGGATACAGGGAAGTGCCTGCCTGTCAGACCTGGAGGCTTCCTGGAGGAAGCAATATGCCCTGCTTTGATCTGACCTCTGTGAGCCTGTTAGGGGGGCTGTGCCCTTGGCTCATCTCCTCCCTGGGCCCTTCTAGTCATAGCCTAAGCCCTGGGCACTGTCACAGGGGCCAGGGGGCAGGGAGGAGGCTCTGTACCCCCAGAGAACAAGCAGTGCACAGGACTGGGAAGGAGGAGGAGAAAAGTGACCTGGCCTCTGCAGCGAGGACAGTGCGGGCTGTGGACTGGCCAGGGCGGCGGCTTGGGTTTCACTGGCTGAAAGCGGATCCTGCAGTGGTGAGGGCAGGAGCACAGTGGAGGCTGAGGCAAGCACTTTCCTGAGGCTCTCAGGAGAGAGACTGGGCTGAGGGGAGCAGCCAAGCAAGGAGGCGGCACAGGAGGTGGGGCCACAGCCCACCCCCGGCGGGAGGGGTTCACCGTGGAGCACAGGCGATTGCCTCCGCGTGCGTGCGTGCGTGCGTGCATGTGTGTGTACAGGATGTGGCAGCAAGGAGGTGGGGGCCTCCGGGCAGCGGAGAGGTGGACGCTGTGCCATGTCGGGGAGCGGGAAGCCAGTGTGGCCGTGTGCAGATAGTGTGTCCCAATCACACAGCCCCTCATCAAAGGTCTCCTGCGACAGGGGGATGCCTGGGTTGTCCCTTGCCTAAATCCCTGGCCTGGGGCCCCGGGAGGAGCCTCCCTGCAGCTCCGGGCATCAGGTCCCTGAGGAGCGGCCCGGGGGCCTGGCCTGGTGTGTCCGGCCTAAGCCTCCCCGTCCTGCTGCCCTCTCTCGCCAGCTCCGGCTCAGGCCCAGATTGTGCACGCGGGCCAGGCGTGCGTGGTGAAGGAGGACAACATCAGCGAGCGTGTCTACACCATCCGGGAGGGGGACACCCTCATGCTGCAGTGCCTGGTCACCGGGCACCCCCGACCGCAGGTCAGCCCCTGCCCAGGGGGAGCGGGAGGGACCAGGCCTCCGCGGGGCCCATCCTCCCCGCCCGCCAGGGACCAGAGCTTGAAGGCTGGAGAGCCAGGGGTTAGACTGGGACCAGGAGAGAGCTGGGAAATCGACTCTGTGGGGAAGCTCTGGTGGCTGTGGGCTTACTCATCTTAAAAAAACTGGTGGCTGAGACGGAAGAATGAATGAAAACTTGCATGTTCATTTCTTCTCCATTCCTCGTATCCAGTGAGCAGAGCAGCTGTTGACCACCAAATTCACATCACACGTCTTTCTCCAGTGTTTCCTTCCTGAATCCCACAGGCATTAACAGTCCCATTCTACAGCTGAGGAAACTGAGGCTCAGGAAGGTTAAGGAAGCAGCCCAGGTCCCACAGCTCTTGTGAGGCTGGAAGCAGAATTTGAATCCAGAACCAGCGTTCTCTCCAGAGCTTAGCATGCTCCCACCGGTGTGTCCATCCTTAGGTTGGGAGCTCTGAGAGTTACCGACCACACAGAAAACAGACCTCTTCAAGAAGCTTCTAGCAGGCAGGCACACGCTCTGGAAGTGCAAAGACCCAAAGTACTTAGAACCAGAAGATAAACATCTGGAGATATCAGATAAATTTTGTCGCAGATCAAGTGCATGGTTCAGGCAGGAGGGCTGGCCAGTCATCGCAAAGAGCCATGCGAGGAGGAGGGAGGAAAACAGGGCTGCAGGGCCGGGTGGGATTTGCCGGTGAGCACCTGTGACCTTTAACAGCTGCAGGGAAGGGGGTATGGGACCCGGGGAAGGACAGTGGAACACAAAATCTGGTTTTCATTTTTTTAATGGGCCATTTTGGGAACAGGGAGGACTCTGGAAGGGCTGGCCTCGGTATGAGCTGATGCATGAGGGAAACCCTACAGACTCGACCTCAAAGTGGGACCCTGGCCTGCCCCTTCTCAAAGGCTGGCCAGGAGGTGAGGACAGTGCAGCTAGGTTTACCAAAGTGGGGTGCAGTTCTCCATAAAAGGCCCCTCCGGCCGTACTGGCCACCTGCATGTGTCCCCTTATGAGTCCCCCACATGTGTCACCTATGCTTGTGTCTCTGTGTTACACACATTTTTTTCTCATCAGTGGTTTTGTTCCAACTACCCAGGCACACATGCGTGGGCCTCAGCTCCCTCTCCCAACCCATTCCTGCACCCTGGGGCTGGCCTGAGCACCCCTAAACTACCTCATTGCTCTGCTGAGAAAGCCTCGGTGGCGCCCATTATTAGCCAGCTCCAGAGGGGGAACTGCAGACTTCCTGCCATCAGGTCCCCTCCCATCTCATGAAGCAGCTCTGAGCAGGATTTAAATTTAACTAATTGGTTTTCCGTGTTTATCTGTGAGTCTGTCCTGGGCCTCGGCCCCTTGCCTGGTGATGGGAGCTGATTCATAGTAAGTGAATCTCCATGAATCACTGGTCCTGGCTGAGGCCTGTAGTGGTCTGTGAGGCCAGAGATACCTCAAAAGACAAGACAAGGCCACAGCTGCGGACACTTGACTCGGACATCAGTTAACTAGATAGAGACTGCAGCTGCAGGAATTACTCCTACAGTCTCTCGCCTCCCATGTCTTCATGATAAGACAGTTCTACTAAATTGACATGATTCATTACTTGGAGATGGCCTTGAAGTGACCCCGAAGGTCCTGCTCATTGCCTGTGCTTTCCTCACTTTCCCTGATCTTTGTTGTTGGACCTAATAAAAATGGGTGGTCCAGAGAAGGCTTTGTCTTAGCCTTCAGAGTCTTGAACTCATCTAAAGAGTTTTGATCCTCCTGGAGCCCTAAAATCATACCCTTGTCTCATTGTATTTAAGCCTTTGACATACACTCCTTTGGGAGATTGGAGATCCAGGTCAGGACCGGATAGCCTCCCACGGCCATGGTCCTCAGGCCCGGGCTCCAGCTGGCCCAGCCTCCCCTGTCCCCAGACACCCTGTCCCTTCCCACCTCGCCACTGCTGCTCCTCCCTCCCAGGAGGCCTTCCCGCTTCTCTTTCATTAGGACAAATGCCCGTGGAGCACCTGCCATGTTCCAAACCCAGCGAGGGGCCGGGGGAGGGGTACGGTGGGGGGGGGTGGGGAGACACAGCTTCCGCGCTGCCTGAGACCTCCCTTCCTCCCCGGGTGCCTCTTCACGGGCTACTTACGGCAGAATCTCTCCAGAGCAAAGCACGACAGAGATTGCAGGGCTGGACCAGAAGGAAGCACTGGCCATTTTACAGACGGGAAAAGGAAGGCCGGGGAGGCCGGGAAATGTCCACGAAGCTGTGGACACAGCTCCAGCCCCAGGCTCGGAGCCTCCTCCCTCTGACCTGGGTCCCCCAGGTTGTTGGCCCTTTGTTGAGGGTCAGGCCTGGGGGGGGCCCAGATGCGCTGTGGGAAGCGCGGGGCACTCAGCCCTCAGTCCCCACTCACAGCTGGCTGTGTCTGACCCCGACCGCCCGGCCCCAGGTGCGCTGGACCAAGACGGCGGGGAGCGCTTCGGACAAGTTCCAGGAGACGTCGGTGTTCAACGAGACGCTGCGCATCGAGCGCGTGGCACGCACGCAGGGCGGCCGCTACTACTGCAAGGCGGAGAACGGCGTGGGCGTGCCGGCCATCAAGTCCATCCGCGTGGACGTGCAGTGTGAGTCTGGGCCACGGCCCGTGGGCTCAGGTGGGCAGGGGGTGGAGAGGCGTCTGCTGGGGGACAAGGTGTCTCTGTGCGTCCGGGGCCCTTCCGACAGCTCCCTGCTTTCCGTCCAGGACCAGCTCCCAGGGTTCTTGCCCCACCACCCGTAGGACCCTCAGTGTGTCACCAGTTAGGGCGCTGGGCAAAAGCCTTTTATCCTAGAAGTTCTAAAGTGTGGCATGCCAGTAGAGGTTCAAATAAAATTATCACCTCAACCGAGGATCAAACTCATGACCTCAAGCTTGCCAGCCAGGCGCTGTGCCGCTGAGCTATAACCCCAACCCAGCACAGATGTGCGTCCACACCATCCGCGTCAAAGAGATGCATCTATCAGGACCTTGGAAAGTTCCCTCCCACCCTACCCCCAGGAGCCATCCCTATTGTGACTACTGACACCCATCATGAGCTCTGCCAGACATCTGTCAAAAAAGAGAATCTTGGGGCTGGGGATTTAGCTCAGCGGCATAAGCGCCTGCCTTGCAAGCAGGCAATCGTGAGTTCGATCCCTGGTACGGATAAAAACGAAACACACACACACACACACACACACATACAAGAGAATCTTGCCAAGTGTAGTGGTGCCCGCCCGTGATCCCAGCATTTGGGAAGCTGTGGCAGGAGGATCATCACTGAGAATTCCAGGCCAGCAGCCTGGGCTACATAGTGAATATAATACTACCCTGGGGTATATAGGGAGCCCCTATTGAGAAGAGAGAAAAAAAGAGGCAGAGAGACAGAAAGAAAGAAGATATCTTCCAGTGATGTGTGTTATACAGAGTCAAAAACAACCAACTTAGGGTCAGGGATGTAGCTCTGCCTGGCAAGCACAAGGTCATGAGTTCAATCCCTGGTACCAAACAAAAACACCCACCACCTAGTGTAAATTAGCATCGGAGAAACTGAGATCCAGAGAAGGAGAGACTTGGGCAGGATACCGTTTCCCTGAGGGCTGCCAGGAGCAGGAGACGCCCTCTAACGTGGGTGCTGCCCATGCTGACTGCACGGAGGCCGTGCCCTTGCAGACCTGGATGAGCCGGTGCTGACCGTGCACCAGACGGTGAGCGACGTGCGTGGCAACTTCTACCAGGAGAAGACCGTGTTCCTGCGCTGCACGGTCAACTCCAACCCGCCTGCGCGCTTCATCTGGAAGCGGGGCTCCGACACCCTGTCCCACAGCCAGGACAACGGGGTGGACATCTACGAGCCGCTCTACACCCAGGTCAGGGCGGGCAGCTGGCTCCCGCGGTGAGAGGGAGGGCGTGGGGGCCGAGGCTGCGCAGTCTGAAATTCTGGGGGCTTCCCCGGCTCCCAGCGGTTCAGTTCTTATGTCAGAAGCACAAATTCTGACCAGGCTTCACACAGCCTGGGGCTGAACAAGTCAGAGTGGAAAAGTTAGCAAGCACTGACAAGGACAGGAGAGCCCCAAGGCCCCGTGTTCTCCAGGGTCACTGCTAGTTAGGAAAGGTACCCCAGGGCCAGCAGATCACCCTGCCTGCTGCTGACGAATTGAGCATTGGAAACACATGGGCAAGCGCTGCAAGAATTGAGGGCCTTCCTTTTTCTGGGTTCCTTGCAGTCCCAGGAGATGGGGAAGCCACCCAGCCAGGGAGGGTCCTCGGAGGTGGCTGCCAGAGTTCTCTGTGTGGCCTGGTCCAGTCCCCTGTTGGCGTGGACTGTAAGATAGAGTAGAGGTCCCTCCTTTTCCCTCCATTTCTCAGAGTGGGAAAACTGAGGCCTGGCCAGTGTGCACAGGGCAACCTTAGACTCAAAAAAGCCTATGAGGGGGCAGAGCTGGGGGCAGCAGAGTATAGCATGGGCCGTCCTTTCTGGCCCAGGGTCCTCCTGCCTCAGGGCGCAGTCAGTGGCCTGGGTGTGGGTCGGGAAGATGGAAATTTGAACAGGAACGTGGTGCTGCTGGGTGTGAGAAGATGGGGGGACCCTGGAGATTCCAGTGGGCCCCTCACTCCAGTGTTCCACTGCCGTCCAGGGGGAGACCAAGGTCCTGAAACTGAAGAACCTGCGGCCCCAAGACTACGCCAGCTACACCTGCCAGGTGTCTGTACGCAACGTGTGTGGCATCCCAGACAAGGCCATCACCTTCCGGCTCACCAACACCACAGGTACAGGCTCCCGCCACGCCCCCTGCCCGCTCCCCAGGGGAGACAGCGCCTTCCTGATGTGTCCACCCCCCAACTCCTGCTCCTTTTTCTCCCCTCCCATCTGCCCCAAGGCCCGCTGCTCTCCCCCTCGCTCGCCCCCTCTGGCCTTCACAGCCCTGAGACCTTCCCTCCCTGTCCCCTTAGCACCACCAGCCCTGAAGTTGTCCGTGAATGAAACTCTGGTGGTGAACCCTGGGGACAACGTGACCGTGCAGTGTCTGCTGACGGGTGGCGATCCCCTACCCCAACTGCAGTGGTCCCATGGGCCCGGCCCGCTGCCCTTGGGTGCTCTGGCCCAGGGTGGCACCCTCAGCATCCCTTCAGTGCAGGCCCGGGACTCTGGCTACTACAACTGCACGGCCACCAACAATGTGGGCAACCCAGCGAAGAAGACCGTCAACCTGCTGGTGCGATGTACGTACCTGGGGCTGGGGGGAGTCCCAGGGGCTGTCAGTGAACTGGGGCAGGGTCTCCCCCTCCTGTCTGCAGGTGGCATATGTTGAGAGGTGTGTGATAATATACATGTCTAAATATAACCTTGGTGATGCAAGAAGTGGGACGGGCTGCTATTGATTAGCTATAGTTTTTTATTTTTAGAATGGGAAACCGATATTGAAAAAAAAAGAAGCTAAAGTGGATATTAGGCTTCAAACAAATTCCCCCGGCTTTCTCTCTCTAGAGTGGTTTCTAAGTGATTAACTGAATTTAAGTGAAAAAAAAAACCCCACATTTCTACAGACCTTATATGCGAATCTTTAGTAGCAAAGTGTTTTAGGGACTCTGAAGATCATTACTGACTGTGAAATCGTGCAAAACAGTACAAACCCCTCCTTATTAAACCTCAGCTCGGTGTTCCCATGAGCTGCTGCTGGCGACCTGGTCTTGCTGTCCTTGTTTGCATGTGCGGTGTTAGATGTTTTTGCATGTAAGATCCGGGCTTGTTTTCAGCCCTTTGACCGGAAGTAAAGCACAGTGGCTGCCGACGGGAACTCCCTTTGTTCGTGTTCCTGACCTATCAGTCTTCCCGACACTCCTCGCACAGAGGTCAGCTTAGGTTTACTTCGATCTGAGAACGCGATGGCAAGGTGGTGGCTGTCTGAGGCCTTCCTTTTGCTTTCGTGTTATCTTTGCCCAGCGGCAGCTCATTTTCCTCCACCTGATTCTATTTGGCCTTTAAAGCCTGGGTTGCCGGTGAGGGTCACCTCTTAGGCTGACCCTGCCGCCGTGTTCCAAGCCCACAGTCCTAATTTGTGTCTGTTGTGCCAGTTTCCTGGCCAATTAGCACTCCACCTATTAAGAACTCTATAAGTCTTTGGCTTACTTGAAATAAGATGCACATTTTTTTTTAAAAAATGCTAAAGCCTTTTCTATCTAAACTGTTTTTATGTAATCCTGTGTTAGACCACTGTACTGTCTGTTATAAAAAAAAAAAAACCACAAACTTGTTGCAAATAATCAAACAGCACATAAGGGAAAAATATGCAAATTAACGGTCTTTCAATTCATCTTAGTTCCGGTCTCTAGGTAGGATCGTTATTAGATGCTGATGCAAATTGGTATTTGGGGTTTAAAACAAAAATAAACACAAAACAGCGCGTAGTGGTCAAGAATGCTTGGCAGGGGTGGATTTAAAAGCAGTTTTGAGCCCAGCTCTCTTCTTTGTCAAATAAGAACAGTACAGCGCCTCCCCAAAGACCGAGGGTTGGGATGCGTATTGTACGTCCACATCCCCACCCACACCATGGCTGGCATCATTATTAAACTCGTTTTTCTTCGGTGAGTTTTAAAAACTCATGATCGTGTAGAAGAGTTTCCAGGCAGAGGAAAGAAACGGCGTCTTGCAGGAGGTTGCGGTCCCCAACCTCCAGGAGGACCAGTTTGAGGGGCGAGAAGCTGGGCTGGTGTGCGTAGGACAGGGCTTCGGGCCACCCCAGCCACCCTTCCCTCTGTGTCCCCCTGTAGCCATGAAGAACGCCACCTTCCAGATCACCCCGGATGTGATCAAAGAGAGCGAGAACATACAGCTGGGCCAGGACCTGAAGCTGTCCTGCCACGTGGATGCGGTGCCCCAGGAGAAGGTCACCTACCAGTGGTTTAAGAATGGCAAGCCAGCACGCATGTCCAAGCGGCTGCTGGTGACCCGCAACGACCCCGAGCTGCCTGCCGTCACCAGCAGCCTGGAGCTCATTGACTTGCACTTCAGTGACTATGGCACCTACCTGTGCGTGGCTTCCTTCCCGGGGGCACCCGTGTCTGACCTCAGTGTCGAGGTCAACATCTCCTCTGAGACAGGTGGGCAGCTGGAGGGGCATCGGGGAGATGCGGGGAGCCAGGGAGGCCCAGAGGGAGGGCGTAGGGGGAGCAGCTTGGGAGAGAGAGGTCAGCGAGGGCATCATTTGTCCAGGCTGTACACATTCCTTGAGCACCAGGGCAGCTCATGGATTACAGCAATGGGAAAACCAGTCTCCGTCTTCCTTGAACATTACTACTGTCTGGCCCTTAGTATTTTTTCAGATGGTTTCACAAACAAAACTATCACTGCAAACTGGGATACATGAGTCTAGAGAGTTTCCTGAGGCAGAGTGCTTGAATGGAGATCTGAGGGAGGGGCAGGATTTTACCAGGCAGAGGACAGCAAAGGAGAGTGGAGAAAAAGTAGAATAGGCTGAGGAGTCTGTACATGCAAAGGCACTGAGGCAGCAAAGTGCATTGCCCTTTGGAGAACTAAAAGGAAGTGGGGTGGCTGAGAAAATAGGGTGCAGTGAGCTCGGAGGGCTCGCCAGGGCCAGACTCTGTGTGGCCTTGTGGGCTATATTCATTTTTCAGGATGGTTATTAACACAGTGTCACAGACTGGGTGGCTTCAGCAGAAATTTGTTTTCTTCCAGTTCTGGAGGTGAACAGTCTGAGATCGAGGTGTTGGCAGGGTTGGTTTCTCCTGAGGCCTCTGCTTGGCTGGCAGCTGAAGGTCTCTCACCTTCTCTGTCTTCATATGGCCTTTCTTCTGTGCGTGTGTGCGTATTAATCCAACTAGAAGGACACCAGTCCTGCTGGGTTAGGGAGCATTCTGTGCCATCATTTATTCTTAATGACTTTTAAAAGGCCCTGTCTCCACACACTGTTCCATCCCGAGGTCCTAGGTATTAGGACTTCATTTGGAGGGCAGACAGTTCAGCTCCTACCAGGCCATGGCGAGGCTTCAGGTTTTTATCCCAATAATAAATAACAATAACAGTAGTGAAGTGACCCTGGCCATATGATTGTTTATTGTGTGTGCTGATGATTTTCTATTTTCTCATCCGCTAGTGTGACTGACCTTTCGGGGTAGCCGTTTGTGTCCCATTTTACAGATCAAGAGTAAGGTGAAACTTAGGCTCAGGCAGCTGGAGCAGCTTAGCAAGGTGACACCACAGTCCGTGTGGAGCTGGGGTCAGGACCCAGGCAGGCTGACTCCAGAGCCCGCTCCCAGGCTTCAGACTTTGGGAAGAACTGGAGATTGCAGGGGACCTTTGGGAGGTCTCACCCTGAGCTGACGAGCCCTGTCTTTGCAGTCTGAGGCAGAAATGAGGGTTCTGTTGCAAGTACCTCCTGTTTTCACATTTCCCCTCTCAGGCCTCAGTTTCTGTGTGTGAGAATTCAGAGTGGGGTGGGGGGGGTGGTGTCTCCCACACATTCATTTGCAAACTGTGTCTGTGGATCCCTGGGGAGGAAGAGAGGCTCCAGATTCAAGAGGTGGCAGGCAGCGCCTTCCTCAGAGCTGGCTGCCTGGTGAGGGGAGACAGGCCTGTGACAGGGAGGGGCGAGGCAGGACCCGGAAGTGGAAACCATGGGAATGTGATAGGGGTGTACAGCACCCTGGGGGCACCAGGCAGGGAGGACCAGGCTGCCTGACAAAGTCAGAGCAGGCTCCTGTGGACACAAACTCACATAAGCCTTGGGAGGTCGCTGGAATTTGCCCGGCAGAGGGACAAGCCCAAGGAGGGATACAACCATCAGAAAGAGGGAGCCCCCCAGAGTAGGAGGCTTGATGTGTCCAGGGCACTCCCTACCATCAGAGGTTGCAGCTGGGACACCAGATGGGGCCGTGGGGGGATTCAGCGGGGGAGGCCGGAGCCTGAGGGCCGAATTTGACAAAGCCTTTGAGCTTTAACCTGAGGGCACAGAAAGGCAGCTCAGCCTCAGCCCTTGGAGGGTGTGGAGGGAGGGCTGGGAGCTGAGATGTGTTAGGGACCCGAAAGGGGCCCAGGGCACTTCTCCTTGTGGCTCCTCAGCTGCCCCATGGAGGGCATGGAAGCCCCTGGAAACGATTTAGTCCTGGAAAAAAATAAATGAGCTGGCTCCAAAACACAAAGAGAAAGCTGCAAAATTAAAGCCAATAAGTGTATAAATGTTTGTAGTGTATAAATTATGCTAACTAGATGATTGGGCCTCAGCTTGCTTTGTAGAATTCCTTAAAAATAGTAACTTTATAATTTAATTATATTTCACGTTAAATATTTAACATTTGATGATAAAATACACTAGTGCATTTTAATTTGTTTGATGTGTGGAATAGGATTAGGACTCCAGAAGGTCTTCAAAAGACCCTCCGTTTGGGCAATGTGTTGGCTTGGATTAGGCTCAACTATGAATAAAAGAACTCTAAAAGTGGCTTCAGGGCTGGGATGTAGCTCAGCGCCATGCAGAACCCCAGCCCCTTGGCGGGGGCTGGGGTGGGGGTGCCTTAGGCAAGCTAGATGCCTATTGCTTCTTGGAGAAATCCTCTGGCCAGCAGTTTTGGGCCAGCAGACTAGCTCCACCAAGTCCTCTGGGCCTCAGACTCCTTTAACTTTTTCTTCTATCTTCCCTTAGCCAGAGCCCTCTGGTCGAGGGAACTACATTCAGGCCTGCAGGAAAGAGTGGCACAGCCTCTTCTCTTTAGCAGACCTTTATTAACCCCTCACACCCCAATGGTCAGAATATAGTCACGTGGTAACCATTAGTTCCTAGGAAAGCTGGGAAATGTAGTCCTTGTTGCGGGTGGCTGTGTGCCCCTGCTGAAAGCTCAGTACTGTTTTCTATGACTTTGGAAGGAAGGGCAGGTGTTGGGGATAGACAAGTGGTCTGTGATCACACTCCTGAAGAAAGTAAGGGCAGAGGCAGGAGTAGGAGACGGGGTTGCGAGAAGAGAGATTTAGTAGAAATACTTAAGGCAGGGGGACCCCATACTTAGTAATGCTGGGGAAGAAGGAAAATGTCAGGCTGACTTCAGGACGCCGCAGACTGGGAGTCTCCGAGGTAGGGGAGTTACACAGGCGAGAGGGGCCCACTTGAGGGAACCAGTGGAGGGTCTGGGCTAGGGGAGGGAGAAGCCCCAAGTCTGAGGCTGGGAAAGTGGGCTAGGGGATGGGGGACCTAACTCCCCTCCCCTCGCCCAACCCTCCTTCCTCCCCCAGTGCCCCCCACCATCAGCGTGCCCAAGGGCAGGGCGGTGGTCACGGTGCGCGAGGGCTCGCCCGCGGAGCTCCAGTGCGAGGTGCGCGGCAAGCCCCGGCCGCCCGTGCTCTGGTCGCGCGTGGACAAGGAGGCCGCCCTGCTGCCCTCAGGGCTGGCCCTGGAGGAGACGCAGGACGGGAAGCTGCGGCTGGAGCGCGTCACCCGCGACATGAGCGGCACTTACCGCTGCCAGACCGCACGCTACAACGGCTTCAACGTGCGCCCCCGCGAGGCCCAGGTGCAGCTGAACGTGCAGTGTGAGTCCGCCCACCCACCCGCTTCCCAGCCCGGCCCGGCCCCCTCGTGCCCCGGCAGCCACCCTGGTGCAACCAAGCCTACTACCACCGCCTAGGCAGGCCTGTGCTGTAAAATGTGTGTGTGTGGGGGGAGCTGTGTCCCTCACTCCACAAGATATAGTTCGATTGTGACAGGTGGAAATGGGATTTGTGCAGGAGGAGGAAGGATCCTCAAGGGAGGAAGGCAGTCTGATAAAATGATGAAAACTCAAACTGTGCGTGTCCACCGGTGCTGAGAGCCGCTAAGGGAGTCAACTCACTGAACCTTCCGCAGCACCGTGATTAGGTTCTGTGATTCCCAGCAAGGCCCAGAGTGGTTAAATCCTTTGCCGGTTCTGTTCTCCCAGGTAGAAGCAGACAGGGCTGGGATTTGATTCTAATCGGTGCAGCTGTAAACCCGGGCGTAACACGGCCCTATTCGCTTGAGAGGCATAACAGAGGCCCAGTCTGGGAGGGGATGCGTGAGCGTGGCTACTGCATGGAAGTGTTGCGTGGGGCTCACCTCCTCTGACTCCCTCTGACCCCCGCCCCGCCCCTAGTCCCGCCCGAGGTGGAGCCCGAGTCCCAGGACGTGCGCCAGGCGCTGGGCCGGCCGGTGCTCCTGCGCTGCTCGCTCCTGCGCGGCAACCCCCAGCGCATCGCCACGGCCGTGTGGCGCTTCAAGGGGCAGCTGCTGCCGCCGCCGCCTGTCGTCCCCGCTGCCACCGAGGCCGCGGACCACGCCGATCTGCGTCTGGACGCCGTGACCCGGGACAGCAGCGGCAGCTACGAGTGCAGCGTCTCCAACGACGTGGGCTCAGCCGCCTGCCTCTTCCAGGTCTCCGGTGAGTGTCCCGTCGGTCTGCCCCACCTACGAAAGGGGCCAGGCCCTGCCCTGCTCCTGCCGGGCCACACCTGGCTGGGCCCAGTCTCTGAGGCCCGTGGAGCAGGTGGCTTTCCAAAGCCCGCTGAAACCAGGTGGACACCCAGCCTGGGTGGCCCTGATCCAATCCCTGGCCTTCTCTTAGAGCCACGCCCCTCCAGACACAGGCCACACCCCTCCTTTACTCCCTCTCTAGGCCTGTTTCTGTTTTGAGTCCGCCCACTGTAACTCAGTCTCTTCTCCAAGTCCAAAAGAGCCACAACCCTTTCAAGCCCAGCCTTCACTAGACATGACCCTTCCCTTTATGGCCACGCCCACTCCTGACCTAGGCCACACCCACCTAAACCCACAGGCTCTACCTCTTACAGCCTCATCCAATCCCATCTCTGGACTTCCAGCCCTCCGGCCCCGCCCACTCATAGTCCTCAACCCTGCTCCTTGTCACCTCGCTCAGTTGATGCCCTTCTGCCCTGGCCCCGGGGCCTAGAGGCTGTGGCTGCTGAACCCCTTCAGGGCTGAGCTACAAAGGGAAGAAGATGGCTCTCAACAGCTTCTCTGGAATATCATGCTAGAAATGCAGGCCATTTGGTGCCCAGAGTCCCTCTTGGCCCCACCTGTACACCAAGTCATTCCCTGATGGGCTGATGGGCTGTAGATGGGCCATGGATGGGGTCAGAATGCCATGGAGGTGGTGAAGGGGACACAGTGTCTCTTGGATTGCAAGCAGCCTTTGGGGAGAGCCACCTTCATGCCGGAACTGAGGGCAGAGTCCCTGAAAGAGAGCTGCAGGCTACTGATCCCCCATTCCACGGCACCCCCAGCAGGAGGGGCTAGGATTGCAGGTCACTGGCCACCCTCCCAGCTCCTCCCGCCCACTCAGCCCTGCCAGCCAGAGGCCCTGTGACATCTCCCACCTCCTTCCCTCCTCCCCTGTTCTCCCACACTTCCCGTCTCCCCACCTTTCTCCCTGTATCCATTTTCTCTCTCTCCTCTTCCTTTCCTCGTCAATATCCCTGGCCCTTCCTGTGTCTGCCCCAATCCTCTCTGTGTCTCCCGAAATTTCTTTTCCCTGGTCCGTCCTTGACCTCTCCGCTCTGTGCTGACCATCACCACCTCATGGAACTCGACCCTTAACCTCCCCTCATGGCCACCTGACTTCTCCCCCACCTTCATTTTCCCCACCCCGTTGCTTCTCCCCACCCCTCCTCTGCTCACAACACTGCCTTTCTCTTTGTCGCCTGGACACCCTGTCCTCTGTGCCTCCCTGTCCTCTGTCTCCCTGTCCCACGCCTCCTCTCTCTGTGTCTGCCACCCCAACCCTCCACGGCCCCGTGCCCCCTCCCCGTCCTCTCAGCCAAAGCCTACAGCCCGGAGTTTTACTTCGACACCCCCAACCCCACCCGCAGCCACAAGCTGTCCAAGAACTACTCCTACGTGCTGCAGTGGACGCAGAGGGAGCCCGACGCTGTGGACCCTGTGCTCAACTACAGACTCAGTGTCCGTCAGGTGGGCCGGGGGGGCGGGGCCTGGGACAGCGGGTGGCACGGCTGGCTGGGGACAGGGCTGGGACCCGTGGGCCTTCTTCAGAGGCCACAGGAGCTGGAGTTTCAGTGCCTGTGTCTGGACTGAACTCCGAATGCAGCCAGTGGGGTCCTCGGGGAGCCAGCGTGGCTCACGGGACGTAGAACCTTTGCTGGGGTCAAGGGTCGGGCCAGGGGCCTCTGCAGTGCAAGGCCAGTGTCCTATGCTATTCTCATGCCCTGCCCATCTCTCTGTGAGAGCAGGCAAGCTTCCGTCTCTGTGGCCTCATTTCCTTCCCTGTAAAGTGGGGTGATTTTAATATACTGCCCCAACACACTGATCATGCAATGTGTGTTATTGTCACTGTCATCACTGAGGCAGCCGGGGAAGGAGGCCTGGAAGGGGTGATTGTCCAGCTCACAGTTGAGGGACACCGAGGGCCTGATGTGCTAGGCCTTTGTTCTTTCTGCCTCTCCACACTCCTGGACTCAAGTCACACGAGGGTCTGGGCTGGTGGTCCGGGCAGGGTGTGGCCTGCCGGGCATCTGGGAACCCCCTGTGTCTACAGCTGAACCAGCACAATGCCATGGTCAAAGCCATCCCCGTGAGGCGCGTGGAGAAGGGGCAGCTGCTGGAGTACCTCCTGACTGATCTCCGTGTGCCCCACAGCTATGAGATCCGCCTCACACCCTATACCACCTTTGGGGCTGGTGACATGGCTTCCCGCATCATCCACTACACAGAGCGTAGGTGACCATGGTGACGCTGATGGTGGTGGTGCTGATGGGGTGATGGTGGTGGTGGTGATGGGAAGGGTGGCCCATGGGCCCATCCCACGCCCGGATACTCCCTCTCCGCTCCATACTGTGCCCAGCTCGGGACACCCGGCCACACTGTCTCTGACGCTGTCACTGCAGGCCAGGCCCTGAGGCCCTCGTCCCTGGTCTCCTCTTCTGTGCTGACTTGTTTCTTTGTTTGCTTCCTCAGCCATCAACTCTCCGAACCTGTCAGGTGAGACTTCCCTGCCCCCTCTGCCTTTGATGTCCTCTTCCCTCTAAGGACAAAGTGGTGGCAGGCAGGGACCTGGAGATATCCCGAGAGCATGACTCCCATGGGCAAGGCCCAGCAGCCCAGGGCCCGGCAGGGCTGGAGAAATGGCAACCAGGATTTATTCTGAGGCTTAGATGGGGTAGTAGCAGCGGGGGACAAGGGACAGTATTTGCTGTCCCTAAAGAAAAAAAAAAAGCCAGCCCTAGGCTGTGATCTATGGACCCCCAAGTTAGGGGGCGTATGAATGGGGGAATACAGTTAATTCTTTATTTTCCCTGACTGCTGTCAACACAGTAGGATAATCAGTATCTGCCTGGCATCAGGAGAAATCCAATGTTTTCACGTCACCTCCCATTCTTGCAGGGATCTCCAAATACCATTTACACTCATTAGTATTTCAAAACTACGGTAGTTATTAGGCCTAACACGGAATCTTGTGATTTAATTAGATACTAAAGAAGCTCAGTTACTGTATAACAAATTATAACAGTTTTTGGACAACTGTGTTTCAATATAATTGATTTTTCCTTTTGATCCTGTGCATTTCATGTTATGCGAGGGAAACCATTATTCTGAAATGATATCCTTAAAGCTTCTCTAGGTGTCAGAGAGGTTTGTGGCACCAAGAGATCTTGCCCCAGAGGTCCTGGCCTCTGTCACGTGTCTTCCTGGGCTTGACAATGCTGGATCCATTGCTCGGATAAGGCTGAGCCTGTCTAACCCCCTCCCCACCATGCAGATAACACCTGCCACTTTGAGGATGAGCAAATTTGTGGCTACACCCAGGACCTGACAGACAACTTCGACTGGACGAGGCAGAACGCCCTCACCCAGAACCCCAAGCGCTCCCCCAACACCGGGCCCCCCACGGACATCAGTGGCACCCCAGAGGGTGAGGACATGGCCTGGGGCTGGGGTAGAGGAAGGCTTCAGAGAGGGGTCTCAGGAGGACACGTAGCCTCATCTTTGGGGAGCCCTGGCCTCAGAGAGCCATGGTCCCTGTCCTTGGGGAGCCCCGGGGTGAGGGGATCACAGAGGGTCAGAAAGAAGCGAAGCTGGCAATCGAGCCCTGAGCTCTAGTGCCAGGAGCAGGGTCTCCGGGAGTCAGCAGTGGGGGTCAGGCCGAGTCACCAGCTGACAGCCTGGGAGGCGGGCAGTGGTCACATCTCCGGGCTCCTGCAGGCTACTACATGTTCATCGAGACGTCCCGGCCCCGGGAGCTGGGGGACCGTGCCAGGTTGGTGAGCCCGCTCTACAATGCCAGCGCCAAGTTCTACTGCGTCTCCTTCTTCTACCACATGTACGGAAAGCACATCGGTGAGTCGGGGCCGGGCAGTCTGCCCGGGTGTGTGCCGGTGGGGGGTACCCAGGGGACCTGAGCTTCCTGCCTTGGCTAACTCGTGGGTCCTTGAAGAGGACCTGCCGAGTAGAGTTGCAAAAAGCAAAAGAAAGGTGAAAGGCAGGAGAGAAGACTGGCCAGAAAGTCCAAAGCCAGCTGTCCGAGGTTTTGAGATGATGGAGGTTTCCGGGGTCTGCAGAGAAAGGCCGCGGCGGGATGGGACGGAGGTCGGTGGTGTGGGTGCTGCAGTGTTCCAGGGGTCTGGGGTCTGCTGCACGCTGGGTAGCTTTCAAATCTGGGCTTCTGGGAAAGTCCTCGGGGACAGCTGGGAGACTCTCTCCATTCGGCATTTATTCGGTGAGGACTGACAGACACGGAGCCAGACCTTCCCTTAAAGGGCAACGTGGGAACTGGAGGAGCCGTGACTGGCTCGCTGTGCTGTCCCATGACAGAGCGGTCTGGGCTCCGGGGCTGTGGTTTAAGCCTGAGGAGGATCTCGGCTCCCAGCCAAGCCCAGGAGCACTTCCTGGAAGAGGTGGCATTTCAGAGAGGCCTTGAAGACCCAGGATTCTTCAGCAGAAATGGCAGAAAGGCTATCACACACAGAGGGCAAGGGCCAGGGCTGGGGAGCGGGTCTTACCGGACACCAGTGGCAGTGCCAAGCGGCTTGGGAGGTGGGTGAGGGAGACGGGTAGGAATGTAGTGAGCAGATTCGCTCTTAGTGGGTAGATCTTAGGGAGGTTGAGGGTCTTGGGCTCTGACCGACTCTCATGAAGGGCATCAGAGTCCCTGAGCAGGGGGGACCTTGCGGCTGAGGGGTTGCTCAGAGAAGGGAGGCAGAAAATGGATTTTTGTTTGGTTAAAAAGAAAAAAGGCAGGCTTGCCTATCGGAGCCCTCAGGGCAAGGTGGCAGGGAAAACAGTTTGGGGGGTTGGGGCCGTATTCAGGCTGACGGGGGACAGGCCGGATCCTTGAAGAAAGAGCAAGCTGGCTGTCTGGAACCAGTAAGGGCCGCGACAGATGTTGGCTCTCGGGCTCTGTGGAAGCCGGCGCATCCTGTTCTGCTGGGCGCTGACTGTGGCCTGCCAGCTGGAGGGCTGGTCCGCTAGCGAGGAGCCCCCACCTGGCTTCAGGGCGCCCCAGCCTGGCTGTGAGGGGGCACTTTGTGCTGTCTGGACTCCTCCCGCCCTGCCTGGCAGCCCCGGGCACCAGCTGTCCCCAAACCTTGCATCTCGTCAGCTCTCCTTGGTCCCGGCCAACCGCTTTCATCCCCGGCAGGTAGCATTTGGTGGCTCTCCCCCACTGGGGGTCTGTCTGTCTAGTGTCGCAGATGGTGTGGCTTTGTCTGTGCGCAGTGCCATGAAAATGCCAGCCACCAGGCACTGTCTGAGATTGATTTCCTTTCCCTCAGAGCCAGCTCTTTCATGTCCCTGGGGCTCCAGGTAGGCGGGAAGAGACAGGGAGTGGGCGGAGGCATTGCCTCTGTGCCCTTACCTAGGCTGAGGCCGCGCCCCCTCCTGTATGCTCCTCAGCACCCCTGAAGCCCCAGCTCCCTGTGGCTGCGGGCAGATGGACTCAGCACTCCCGGGCTAATGCCCCGCAGTCTCCGGCTCGCTGCTGTATTGTAGCGGCACAACACACGGCCTAATCCTGTGTCTCGATTTTGCGTGTCTTAGAAATCACGCACAGCAGGGGTGTGTGCTGTGCTCCGGGGACCCCTGCTCTGCGTGGAGGCAGATTTCCATCGCCTGGGGTAGCTTCCCTGTCTGAAGGGAAAGGGCGGTGCGTGTTTCGGGGTGATTGGATCAGTTGATTAACAGAAGAAACGAAGGGAAATTTGCAAGCTGTCCGGATGAACTGAGATCCTGTCGCCATCCTGTCTTCTTTGCCATCGGGTGGGGAGCAGGTCCCACCCAGGCCACCCGGGCAGTTCTGTGGCCCAGTGGGGCGGAGGGCTCGGTACCCGCGGGAAGGTAAGGGGGCCCTTGGGCACCTCAATGTCCTCTTATCTCACCCACCACAGGCTCCCTCAACCTCCTGGTGCGGTCCCGGAACAAAGGGACTCTGGACACGCACGCCTGGTCCCTCAGTGGCAATAAGGGCAACGTGTGGCAGCAGGCCCACGTGCCCATCAACCCCAGTGGGCCCTTCCAGGTGAGACTCGGCCCTGGCAGGCGGGGCGGTCGTCCTGCCGGGCAGCACTGCCGGGGCCTTGTGCCTCTTCCTGGGGCCCTTGCTGGTAGACTGAGGGCACGGGGTGGGGTGGGCATCTGTGTGCCTGGCACAACCTCACTGACCCTGCCCCTCCCGCTCTGCCTCACCCCAGATTATCTTCGAGGGGGTCCGAGGCTCGGGCTACCTGGGGGATATTGCCATAGACGATGTCACGCTGAAGAAGGGAGAGTGTCCCCGGAAGCAGATGGATCCCAATAAAGGTGCCAGACAGGAAGGGGTGAGGGGATGAGGCTGGGGGGGCCCTGTGAGGGAGGCACCTGGCCACTGGGCAGGGGGTGGGAATGGTGTGTAGTCTGACAGTGTGAACAGGGAAGGGGCACCCGGAGGACAGTGAGGAGCCCCCAGCCGCCCTCCTCTGGTTACTGAGTCATTCACAGTCTTAGATGCCTCCTGACCCTGTGCCTCAGTACCCCTCGGGGGCTCTGGGCGTGGACCTGTGCCTTCCTGAGGCCAGGCGATTCCAATGCTAACCAATCCGGTTGACCAGATGATTACTGTGTAGCAGGCAAGGTACAAAAACATGTCTGCATGTTCCACCTGATCCCCATCACAGCCCTCTGGGCTCATGGACCCATTTCACAGATGAGGACACTGAGCCCTCCCACAGAGGTGGAAAATTGCTCCAGCACTTTAGTGAGCCCTGGCCTGTCTCCTCTTTCTCCCATTGCAGTGGTGGTGATGCCTGGCAGTGGAGCTCCCCGCCAGTCCAGCCTGCAGCTCTGGGGTCCCATGGCCATCTTCCTCTTGGCGTTGGAAAGATGATGAGAGCTGCAAGCCCCCCCACCCCGTCCCCCGGCACACCAAAGTGTCCACATCGTACCAAAGACTGACCCCCGCCAGCCGGGGTGCCCAGGGGCAGGGCTGGCCTGCCAGGGAGGGGCCCGCATTGCCTTCGAGAACAAGGACAGAGAATAAGGACAGAGCCCCGGCACCGAGGAGGCCCTGGAGACAGTTGTGCGACACACATGCACACTCACGTTCACACTCACACACAGAGATCTATTAAAGCACAAGTTTCTATCCGACCTGCCAGCACCTCCTTTACTGCAGAGACAAGGGGACTTGCCTGAATGGCGTCTGCCCCCAGGGACCTGGGGGTGATATAGGCCTGTCCTGGCTGCCCCCAGGGACCTGGGGGTGATATAGGCCCTGTCCTGGCTGCGCGGGAGGTGTGCTTCTCACCTGCCTCCTGTCCCCCAACTCACGGCAGAACTCCAGCCCGGGGCCCTGGCCAGAAGGGAGCCGGAAGTGGACAAACCAGGAAACTGCTCCTCTGGTCAGAATGACCGCCCACCCCACCCCAGGGAAGGCGGCTGGGGGCAGAGGAGGGCCAGGGGAGACTTTGTGAGCTCTGTGACTGTCCTCTGTCCAGGGGGCAGCAAGGAAGGCAGGGATCCTGCTGTGAGGGCTGTGCAGTGGCCATCCCAGTCACCCGGATCCTCTGACCTATTTCTGGGACACTATATTCTCCACCTCACTGTGCCCTTTGAAGGGGCCCAGCGCGGGGTTGTGGGCCTGGGCAGCCCAGAGACTGACACCTTCCCCCCAGCAGCTGGCTCCCAAGAGCATGGTCCCTCCCAGAACTCAGTCCCACGCTGGGGCTCAGAGGAGCTGGGAGTGGTGGACAGGCCATTTTTGGGGGTGAGGCTTGACCTAAAGAGGGGCAGGGAGAAGTCCTGCTTCTGTGCACTTTCAGGAGTGGAACCTCCACTTGGTATCTGTCTGGCATGACTGGGCGCCCTGGACGGGTGAGTGAGTGGGGAGCACTCCTCCCCCAGGGTCAGTGAAGGAGCAGGGCGTGTGGACTGGGGATGACCGGTGAGGTGTGACAGTCCCCTTGTTCCCTGGAGTTGTGAAAGAACCTGGGCGCTGGACCAGATAGAACCTAGAGCCCAGCTCCTCAGTATCAGCCCTCAACAACCCACCTGCCGTCCAGGGCAGAGGAGCCCAGTCCCTCCAAAACAAGTCTGCGTGCGTGCGTGTGTGTGTGTGCATACGAGTGTGTTTGTGTCTGCATATAACATGGGCACAGCTCTGAGCAGGAGTGTGCATAAATAAAGGTCTGTGGGTGCAATTAAGCATATCTGAGGGGCTGGGTCTGTGTGAGTGTGCCCCTTCATGAGTGGCACTGTGTCCATAGGAGACTGTCCGAGGAGGCCACCTCAGCCCTATTCTGTAGTCCCAGGCTGCCTGCCACAGCCTGAAGTCGCACCCCTCACCTCCTGTGGAGAATGGGGAGCTTACAGATGGCCCTGTTGAGTGCAAACACCTTGGCGGGGTGTCACAAGGCTCTTCTTGGGCCATTTGGTGGGGACAGCTACAGAGAGGCCTGGAACCCTGGCAGCACTGTTAGTGCCAGGAGCAGGCAGGAAACCAAGGCAAACACTGCCCGGCATCCTGCTCTGCCCAGACCTGTGTCATCGTCATCGCCAACAGCTGGTGGGTGGCCAGGCTGGGCTGCTGCTGCTGCTGCTGTGGGGTCTCCTGCTACCCGACTGGCCTGACTGCTTTTCTGGCCCATCCAAGGTCAGGTCTGAAGTGAGTGGCTCCAGGTTCCCAGCAGACGCTCCCATGGGGTCTGTGATTATTGTTCCTTAATTGTCCCATCTGTGCAGAGTCTGTTTCCCCCACTAGACTGTGAGCTCCTCCTCCGAGCCTCCCGAGCCCTCTCCCCCTCCTCCCACTCATGCCTGGCACCAGAGAACCTGGTACGGAGCCTGCCCTACCGCTCTGCCTGGCACAAGGGATCCCATAGAGAGATGGTCCTCGGTCCTGGCTGCAGAAGGAAACCATCACAGGGTTTTAGAAAGCACTGATGCTGGGCTCCCAGCTCGGAGGTTGAGTTAACAGGACCGGAGTGCATTCAGGCGTCAGAATGCTGAAAAGCTTCTCAGGAGACCCAAGTGGGATGGGGTGGATCCACTGGCCTCTCCCCTCATTCCCCTTGGGGGCTTCCTCTGGGTCCTTGCCGGGGCCACACTCGAGCACCTGGTGACCTCTCGGGGGCTCTCGAAATACCCCATGCCTACTCCCCCCACCATGGCTGCCCCTTCATGGGGCCTCCTGTCCGTGTGTCTGTCCTGCCTGGTGCAGGAATCATGCGCGGTACAGGGTGGTTGAGCTGAGCTGCCGCTGGTCCCCATGCTCCTGCTCTGTCTGGGGAGAGGACACCTCCTCAGTGCTGAGCACAGCGCTGCCCGGAGGGCGCTGGGCCAGTGTGGCCCTTGTGTTTGTGTCTGTACAGGTCAGCCGGTGTGTGTGTGGTGTGTGCGGGTATCCGTGTGAGCAGCGCCCAGGGCACGAACCTGTGTGAGTCTGTGCATGCGCTCAAGTGTGCACAAGGAGTGAGTGTGGTTGTGTACCCCGTGTTACAGGTGTGCCTGCATCTGTGCAAGTGTCTGTGTCTGCGGCAGGGTAGGTGCTGTGCAGATCTCTAGCCCCTGGGATCCAGTGCCTCTCCCCAGTGGCAGTCTCACCCTCTGAATCAGGGTGACTGAAGCATATTGTGGCCTTAAAACAGAGAGTCTGGGGGGTCAGCTCCCATCACCCCTCCAGGTTAGAGTCTGGGGGAAAAGGGATCCTGGGACCAGGTTCTGGGTAGCAGCAGATGGGGAGCCCCAGCTCCACTGGCCCCTGGGATGACAGGGCTCCTCACAGGGGCGCCTGGTTAGCCTGAAGACCAAGTGCTCCTCCTTGTCCTCCTCCTCTGAAGACCAAGTCCTCCTCCTCCTCCTCCTCCTCCTCCTCCTCCTCCTCCTCCTCCTCCTCCCGGAACCCTTCCCCCATCTTCTCCCTCTGGGGTGGGCCCAGGACCTCCTCTCCTTTAGCTTGTGCTCTCAAAGCTGCTGCTGTGCAGGGTGTCAGAGCCAGAAGGGGCCACAGGTCAGACTCCTCAGGGTGCCCATGAAGAAGCTCACACAGCCAGCCTTTGAGGCCAGGTCCTACAGCCCTGAAGGTGTCACACCACCGGCCACTACTCCCGGGATCTGCCAGAATAGCTAAGGGGACCCTGTGTCCAGAGTGCTACAGATGTTACTGAGAAAGGTACTGTCCTAAATTGCATTACGGTCTGTCAGCCGCACCCATAGACCTCCCGCCCTCTGTCCACACGTGCATAGCTGCTGCTGCCTCTCCCAGGATCCCAGGCAGAAGAGGCTCCATTTCCTGTTCCCGCCCCTCTGTCTTTACAAGAGCCTGGGGTGTATGGACAGAAGTCAGCAGGTCCTCATCCTCTTGACCTCCCCTCGAAGGACCAGGAGGGCTGGAGCTGAAGGGTGCAGGATCTTTGCTTTTCTCTCTCTGGACAGCTCGAGGCAGCTGGGAAGGGGGTGCCCAGAGTCTGTCCTCACACAGTGAGGGTGGAGCCAGCCCTGGACAGACCCTGTAAGGCCTCAGTTCTAGGTTCAGGGGAGCCCTTCCTGCTTCCAAAGGCAGGAAGCCCCCTCCGCTCTCCTGCGTCAGTGCCGTGTGTGTGTGTGTGTGTGTGTGTGTGTGTGTGTGTGTGTGTGCGTGCGCGCGCGCGTGCGCGGGGGTATGCATGCATGCAGAAGGACCACTCTTTCCTGGGACTCCTGTGACCCTTAGAACTGGAAGGGACCCTAGATGAAAACATAACCCAGTGCACCATTACACAGGCGAGAAATCTGGGGACCCAGAGAGACAGCATGTCCCCTCCCCGGCCCCTTGTGTCATCCGTGTCCACTGCCCAGGGGCCTGCTGGGAATGCCCTCCCTGCTGGCACCTTCCTGCCCTCTCTAGCCGCCCACATCACCCCATCTCAGCCGACTCTGCTGGCCCCTCTGCTCCAATGGACTCTAAGCGTACTTCTTGCCCCATGGCAGCCTGCTCACCGAGACCCTAATCTCCCACCAGAAGGGTCAGGGAAGGAGAAGACTGCTCCAGCCCGGAGGCCTCAAAGACTTGGGAGAAAAGCCAAAAGCCCCATGCGCAAACCCATGTGTCTGACCTCCCCAGCTCACCCTAGCACCAGGTAAAAGCACAACGGGAGACCCCTTAGCCACGGGGGAAAGGTATCGGGGTTGTTTTTGAGTCACACGACCCTGTCCTCACCCCTTTGCCTTGCTCTGTCTCCGCCCAAACCTCTGTTCCCCCCTTGCCCCGTCTCACTCCCAAGCCTCCAAGTGTAACCTCTAATTGCGAACACGGTTGTTTCGATCAATAAAGCTACAGTATTGTAGTGTGCAGGGTCAGGCTGTGTGTGGGGCCGGACAGGAGGGGGAGGCGGGCAGGCTGGGCAGGGGTGAGGGCAGGGCAGGAGCGGGTGCTTTCAGTTCCCGGGAGCTCTTTCTTCTGTGTAGCTGTCACCGTGGATCCCACTCAGTGGCCTGGATAGCCCGACCTGTGTCCTCACCAATTTGTTCATCCGCAAATACCAAGCCCGTAACAGCCCCACGGAATGTCCTGTTTACTGGAAGAGAGAGGCACTAAGCTAATAATTGCATCCCAAACTATGTAATTATGAATATAATTAGGGCTGTGAAAGAAAATCAGCGCTGGCAAGAGGGTGCTTATTTGGGTTGGAGTTTTCAGGAAAGATCTCTAAAAGAGACACTTAGGAGAAACTTAAAACATGGTGGAATCAGCCTCCTGGGGCAGGAGAAGTCTTCCAAGCAGCAGGACCAGCATGTGCAATGTACTCACAATCTTTTGGTGGTAGGTACGGGGAATCGAACTCAGGACCTTGTGGCAGGCACCGTGCCACTGAGTTAAGGACAGGAAAGGAGGGCTAAGGCGGACATAAGTGGTTGAAATGTCCTTTTTCTTTCTCGGCATCCAACCTCAACATCCCTCCTCTATGGTCAGAGTTGCCCCCAGAGAATCCCTGTTTCGGCCTCCTAAGCCCCACCCTACCCCCTCCCACCCTACCCCTACGGGCTGCCTCTTTCCCTCACCCCTGGCCAGCCACCCCCTTGCTCTGCAGTCATCTGATCCTAGCCTTCTCTCTTGTCCCAGACCACTCAGAAATTTAGGATTTCAGAGCTTCGAGGCCCTTAAAGGGCCATTTATCTATTCCTTTGCTCTGTGTTTTCCTGAGGAGACTGGGCTTGCCAAGGCCAGGGCAGGCAGCTGGGGAAGGGGAGGATCCACTGTCCTGTGTGTCCCAGGGTAACCTTCAGCAAGGCCGCGCATGGCTGTTGAGATATGCCACAAGAAATCAGGCAAATGACAGGGGGAATCTACTTTTTACTTGGTGACAGTGACTCAGATTTTCTGTCCGTGATTCAGATGGGGAAACCAAGCCCTAGACAACACTAAGGCTCCGGACCCTCTGAGCGTTTTCAGCTGCCATGGTAGCCGATTTCTTGCTGCCGTACCTGAGATTTCTAAGGATTTCATCACTGCTGTAGCTTGGCTCCCTGGGTACAAGGGGAGACCCACTTGAGCTCACTCAAGTACAGGAGGGGTACGATGAGGATATGGAGATGGACAGACACACCAAAATCCAAGCAGGTTTCTGCAGAGATGGTTTTCCCCAATCAGCTGTGTGTTCTGGGTTCAGGGTAGCTCATGGACCATCAGCGGCAGTAGCTTATGGCCCCTCCTGGGGGTGAAAATGGCCTTAAATCCCTTTCCTGTGGAGAGGTAGAATCTAAACCTCTTCCCTCTGAAACTGGGGAGAGGAATCTTGCCCTTGAAGATTCCAGTGAAACCACAGTAGAATATGATATTTTCTCCTGGAAGCCAAGAGCTACTGCGTGTCCAGCTCCCCTGAGAGCATCCCAGCTGAGCCTGGCCCTCAGCCCTCCCCACAAAAGCCCTGAAGGTGGGGGCCTGAAGCCTCCTTGGAGCCTCTAGCCCAGCCCAGCTGCCAGCTGATACCTCTGTTGAGGTTGCATAGAACAGAAGAATCGCTCTGCGAACTCTGCCTAGATTCCTGACTCAGTGTCATGCGATAGGATGAACTAATTATTGTTCAAATCCCTGACTCAAGATGTCTCCTCTCTCACAGCTTCAGCTTTTCAGGCATCACAAACAACTCCCAGGGCTCCCACTCCCCAGTGCTCCCCAGTGCTGCCACCTTCCACTGGCAGCTGCAGTGTTCACTGTCACAGCCTCTCTAGAGAATGGACAGACTGGATGCTCCTACCTTCTGTGTCAAGCCGTCCATACACCATTGGTCAATCTGTTGATTGGCTGCCCTGGAGCAGGTGCTACACCTGCTCCAATCAGCTGGGTTGAAGAAAGGAGTCATGGGTAGAAAACATGACTCCGGGGGGGGGGGGCTACCATTTCTAGAGAGCTCGTGCACAGGTGCCTTAACAGGGGCAGCGAGCTGGCAGGCACCTTAGAGATATCTCTTTGAATCTTTCCTCTTTCACCCTCCTCTGGTGGCCATCTATTTCAGGATGACAGCTGTCTAGTAGTCCCTGTCAAAGGGCAGTCCCAATGCAAGCTACTCAGACATGGCAGTTAACAGAGAATCCTGTGCTCCCATATTATAGACGAGGGAACTGAGGCTCAGAGAGGTGACATGGTCACTGTAGCTCATAAAATTCAGGAGGGAAATGGCCTGGAGGAAAACTCCAATTTTCGACTTCTGGTGCAGTTTTCATTCACATCAGCCAGAGTCCCCGCTCCGTATCTTCCCCTCAGGAATTGTCCTGTTTCCATCCCAGCAGGTCCCTGAGGACCGCTAGAAGCAGGGTCCTTTCCCATTGCAGCTCAGGCTGCAGTCAGTCCTCTGCTTCAGATGGAAATTGTCCCTGGTCCTGCTTTTCTATTTCTGGCTGCCTGACCTTTTTGCATACGTCCTTTGTTGAAAGCTACTATAACACCTTTTCAGAAAGAGGCTGGGTATAAATAAATCCAAGAAAAAAGCCGAAACTCTTCTCCTTGAAGTCACCCCAACCCCAGGTGGAAGCATCCTTTGTACAGTTCCTCCAACTCCCTGCTCCCAAATTCCTCTTTCCTGGGCAGACGGCCCCACCAGCGCCCCGCGTGGCTTCCTGTCCTGAGGTCAGCTTGGCAGGTCTCCGATGCGAATCCCACTGTTGAATTCATCACCCCGACTTTCTAGCTGTTAAATTCCCCTCTAAGGATTTGGTGAGCTTGCTGTTTCTTGTCCCCAGTGAAAGCTCAGCCGAGGAGTCTGCACTGTCTAAGGCCTTGCTGTATCTCTACACTCTGATCTAAGCAGGGCACCACTCTCAGAGCGCGCCCCCAGCCCCCAGAACCACCCACCAATTTACCGTCATCTGAGCGGCGGTGAGAAGTAAGGAAAAACATGAATCGGAGAGGCCATGCAGTGGGAGTCCCTCTGCCATTTGAAGATGTCCGTAATACATGGCTGAGAGAGAACACAGGTTAAAAAAGAACATGCTGGGCCAGGGACTTAGCTCAGTGGCACAGTGTCTGCCTGGCAAGTGTGAGGTCATGAGTTCAATCCCAGCTACCACACACACACCAAAAGAACATGTCTGTTACTATCTAATTTTTATGTAAAGGATGTATGTGTTTTTTTAAGTCTGAAATGCTATTCGATAGGATGTGAATAGTAGTTTTCTTAGTGACAAAATTTCAGAAGCTTCTGGCTTGCATCTCTAGGTTTTCCATGTAATTTGAATATTTTTCATGTATTATTATATATTAACACGTATTATTTTTAAAATTGTGTCAGGCATGGTGGCACATGCCTGTAATCCCAGCACTCAGGCTGAGGCAGGAGGATCTCCATGAGTTTGAGGCCAACCTAGGTTACACAGCGAGTTCAAAGCCAGCCTGAACTACATAGTGAGACCCTGGCTCGAAACACAAAATAAAACAAATAAATAAAAAACCAGGAAAAATGAGAAAACAAAAGCCAGAGGTCATCAAGGACCATCGACCAGAAACAAAGCTCACTTTCTGTTTGCGTTATTTTTATAACTATTTTGCAGAGTTTGGGAAACTCAAATCTTCAACTTCAAATCTTTTCCTCCTGATTTAGTCAGACACAAACACTGACATGCTTGGGAGACGAAGGAGAAGAATTAGACTGAGTTGATCAGAGGAGGGAGGTGGAAATGTGGAACTACGATTTAGGAGTTCAGGGGCTGGGGACATAGCTCAGTGGCACAGCACCTGCCTGACAAGGTGAGGTCCTGAGTTCGATTCCCAGTACCAAAAAAGAGTAAAATCTATCCAGGAACAAATCCTACCTGTTAAGCTGGACGTGGTGGCTCACACCTGTAATCCCAGCACTCAGGAGGCTGAAGCAGGAGGATTGTTTCGAGTTTGAGACCAGCCTGGGCTACAAAGTGCACTCCAGGCCAGCCTGAACTGCATAGCGAGACCCTGTCTCACAAAAAAGAAAAAGAAAATCCTACCTGTTATGTTATGGCCAAAGCCCCGAGAGTGTATTGCGCGTACGCATGTATGATTGTGTCTGTGTGAGGGTACTACGTGCCCACTGGTGTAAGCCTGCAGCAGCCTTGGCTACGTAATTAGTGACGAGGCAAGCGGGTAAGGGAAGCGCCCTGGGTCAGTGGCTGCCGCAGTCAGTGGGAAGGGCCCAAGAGGGGTGGGGGCTGTAGCTCCTTTGCATTCCCTGTTGGCCACCTTCCACCTCAGCCTCTTCCCCTCACCAGACTCTGGGCCCCGGAAGTGACCAAGATATGGGGCTGGGTGAAGGGGAACAGGGTCTGATCAGCCAGCCAGGACTCCAGGGTTCTGCCCTTTCATCTTTGGCCCCTTGTACTTTCTCTTTTGGCTCAAGAATACATGGTTTCTCAAGCCCCGAAAAGCAGGAGAGAGAGGGACCAATCAGCAGACTTACGATTCTGATGCATTAGTTAGAAAATTCAATACACGCGTGCAGGAACAAGAGAATTAGCTGTAGGGTGGTGCATGTGGGTAATTACAACTACTTGGGAGGCTGAGGCAAGATGACAAACTCAAGGCCGGCCTGGGCAACTTAGTGAGTCCCTGACTCAAAATAAGCATTTAAAGAAGGGCTGGGAATGTCGCTCAGTGGTAGAGCACTTGTCTAGCCAGGGCAGGGACCTGGGTTCAATCCCCATGCCTCAGAAAGTGATTAGCTAATGGAAATAGGCCTGTCATGGGCACAGCCCTTTGTATCAGTTTCTGCTTTCACGGCCATGCTCACCCTGCAAAGGCACCATCGGTGCGAGACCCTCAAGGAAGAAAACTGGACATCGCAATGCTTTCCAGGGAACTTCCGGGATCCTGGACCGAATT